CAACACGAGGACAGTGGATGAGGTAGCATACACAGATAAGACAGAGGTAAATCGAACTACTGGCACAATATGTAATGAACAGCAAGATAGTAGTGAGGAATTTAGTACGTTTGAAAATCGAACTTCCTCAGATTACAATACACTGGAAGGGGATGGTGGTGATGTCACTCAAGAACAAACTACTTATAATAAGTATAATAATAAGGGTGTAGATAGTCCAGAGGAAATTACGCCATCCTCTCCCAATAAATGCAGTGGGGAGTTATCTGACATTGTTGAACCTTCAGAACAAAATGGACTTTCTAATATTTCCACAGCTCATAGTGCTGAGAAAGAGAACGATGACTAAAATGAACAGTTTAGTTAAAAGTGACCACCAACAGGATTATTGTCCCTATACAATTGCCTGATGTATATTATGCTCATTGTAAATCTTATTATTTTTTTTATATTAACAAAGCGTAATTAATTTAAAGGATTATCAGGGGGACTCAGGGGGAAAAATAGTAGAAAATTTTACTTTGATTGGTTGGTTCACTTGGGGGGATTGTTCTAGCATCTTGTATTTTACTTCCATTTTTTTTTTACTCCAAAAGTTGATGAAAGTTAAAACATATAGTTGTGATGTTAAACTTAGATATATATAATACAAAGGCTATAATATGCTGCCATGGGCTGTATTTTCATAGTAATGCACAGGTGGTTGATTTATCTTAATCTTTCTGCTCTTTTTTTTCCTTTCAATATTTGGACTTGAAGCTTAAATTATCTCTTGTTTTGTGTGCATGTATCAGGCTTAGCGTTAATCTGATATTAAGGACAGTCAATTGGCCCTATTGTATGTGGTAATTTCTTTTACTATTTTAGCTTGCATCTACAGAGCACAAGAGGTAACTGATTTTGAAAGGGTGTGCATGCACTATGTTGTCAGGGTCACCTGAAAAGAAACAATTTGTGTCACCATTCTTCAAATGCGATAACATCTTGCACATTAATTATGATTCTGACAATCATCTTTTAATTTTTGTATCTTGAATTAAATGGTTCTCCTGAAATAAAAGTTGTAATGAAGTATTTTATGTATTTCTGGCAGCAGTATTGCAATTTATCATTGTGTGTACATTCTATATCCCTACATCACATATCAACACAGACCTTTCAGTTCAGCTGTTCAAGTGTTCAACTATCTCAGTAATAAAAACAAAATTACCTAGCAGGAACAGTGGTTATAATATTCAAATATGCAATTCTCACCGTCTCAAATGCATAACTATACCATGTTTTACCCCTCATGCATAGCATCAAGGGAAAAAGACAAGCTCAGCAAATCTAAATCCACTTCATGCTGTAGAATACAAAACGTGTCAATGGTACATGTTTAAAAGTCACATGATTACCTCCAAATGAAACAGACACACTGAGACAATGAAAATGTTATGGTGGTAGACTGTCATTTAATCTATCAAGTGAACCAGCTTTTCACATCATAGTCAGTCTGTGGGTCACTGTAACTCAGATAATTAATTTCTCTATCTCTCCATAAATGTATATCATCGTAGTTTCATGTGATACATGTAAAAAAATGTGTAATATTTTAATATCTCCCCATATATCATGGCATTTCCAAACCATGTAATATTTGGTATCTCCCCATATATCATGGCATTTACAAGCCGTGTCATTTTTGGTATCTCCCCCCCATATATCATGACATTTTCAAGCCATGTTAATTTTGGTATCTCCCCCATATATCATGACATTTTCAAGCCATGTTAATTTTGGTATCTCCCCCATATATCATGACATTTTCAAGCCATGTCATTTTTGGTATCTCCCCCCATATATCATGGCATTTCCAAGCCATGTCATTTTTGGTATCTCCCCATATATCATGGCATTTCCAAGCCATGTAATTTTTGATATATCCTCATTTATCATGGCATTTCCAAACCGTGTAATAATTTTAGATAACGTTTTGTATATGTGTGTTTGTGCACTTTTTACAAAAGTTGCCTATATGAAAATGGAGATAATATTTGAGATGTTATAGGAGGTAATTCAGATGGTTGATGGGACGTGGCTACATTGACATGGATAAGTTCAACGTTGTTATAATCAAAGATAATCAGTTTTTCGGAAAAGGTGTTGTATTATGATTTGTAATTTTAAGGATAAAAATTTGCAGATGATGGACAAGGTACCAACAATTACAGAAGTCGTAATGTCATTTTCACCCGTCACAGTATATTATGCCTGCACGTTTACAAGAATAAGAATTTACGATTTTGTATGATAAATCAGCTACAAGCACAGTTCCAAGCTGTGTAATAATTTTTTATATTTCCCCCCATGTTAAGTAAAACAAGTCATGCATGGCACAGTCCTTGTCAGTTATCAAGTTATATAGTTTTGTATATAGTAATATAGTACTTGTTCATATTGAGAAATATTGCTCTGGATCAGCATTAATTATAACAGAATGACGTGCATCAGGAACCCATAATGTCTGATGTACATGTATGTACCAAGTTTGAACGAAATCCATCCGTACTCTATTGAGATCCAGTTCCGGAATGCCAGAAATGCTTGATTTTTGATGATTTTTTTAGCACAAAAATGGCCATCATTCAGCAATTTTGAATCGGATCGTCAAACCAATATGTCTGTATATTTTTGAGATGATGTGTAATGAATATTAAAATTTGAACATGATCAGTCAAAGCAAGTCAGAGATATGGCACTAGAACCACATTCATGAAAACCAAATGCCTACCAGTCTGCCATTTTGAATCTGAATAACAAAATGACGTGCATCAAGTTTCCATAATGTCCAATGTACCGGTATGTACCAAGTTTGAACAAAATCCATCCGTAAACAGCCAAGAAACACTTGATGATTTTTCAGTACAAAAATGGCCGCCATTCGGCCATCGTGAAACAAATTGATGTGCATATGTATGAAATGATGTATGTATGAAGTTTGAATGTAATTGGTCCAGGCATGTCTAAAATACAGATGCACGGACACGCACAGAGGTCAATCTACAGTCCCTATTTTCGAACAGCGCTGAACAGGGACTAAAAATTCCTACCAGTAGTAGACTGACTGTTTCATGTAAGTGCATTAAATGTTTGATAGACAAGACAGACTTGAGACAAGTCCTCTGAAAATATAGCTCAATTGAAGAGTTGACAACATAATTCTTTGTTCAAACTCCTCGTAAATTTCAAATTCCACCCTTGTACAATCCTGTTGTAAAAGTCGTATTTACAAGGTTTATTTCTTGCTTTTCAACCTGTATCTGATAAAGCACAAATATAATCTCTACATACCTTTTTGATGGCTACTCCATAAAAGATTGTGTTCTCACTGTTACTACTGCTGACCCGTCTGCTTTATCTTGCATTCATAAAGCGAATATGGCTATTTGATTGGTTCAACTGTTTCATAGAGTTTCGAGTGTGTCATTCAAACAGTATGTTGACCAATAGCATAGCAGCAGCTTTACCAAAAAACTGTTGAGCTACATTTTGCTGTGGCTGACCATTAATAAATATTTATACAGAAAATTTGCTTTCAATGTCTGTTGTCTTTTATATCATTTGGCAAGTCAATATGTTGTGCGAAACAATAGTTTGACTGGCAATGGTATTCTGAATGAAAACTTTGGATTGTGAAAAATTGAATCAGTACGTATGCTTGTATGTATGAAACGAGACAATGAAAACAATATCACACACGACAGCTTTCTGAATTTGAATGTTGAACTGAGGTGATTTTAAAGTTGCCATAGCTGAATGTTGTCTGAATATTTACTTCAATTGAGGTCTGAATGAATGTCTTGTAAATTGAAAAGTGAAATCTCGGACAACTGATGGTAGTTGTACCAAAACAGAAATGTGTGAATGAGCATTTCAAATGAACAACAACATTGTCTCTAGTCTGCCGAATTCCAAATGCGATCAACTAGTTTATTCTTTTGTAGCATTCAGTTTTAATATGTAATCATTTTGTTTCTCGGGCATGCCACAGCCGATTTTGTTTAACTTTGTATTAATTCCTGTCATAGTGCGAAATGCAGAATTTCAACATCTTGGTGCAACGAGATAGTCTGTATACAAGGTTGAATCAGTTGCTCTATAAGAGATGTGCTTTATAGCTAATTAGTTCTACTAATAGATGTAGACACTGTTTGGTTAAGCCATTGCTTTAGCATTTCGGCTTAGTATTTTCCACGAAACGAAACCCTAACCTTAAATTTTGAATGACCTCAAACATCGCCACGTCACAGAAATAAATTTGTCGAGAATATTTAATTTCCACCTCTTTTCCGCCTACTTTGCAGCTTGATTCATTTGTGCTGACATGACGTGACAGCCATTTTGGAATTGTTGAACACTGATGGCGCTATTCATTTTGTATTTCACAGTGCGAAATTTTCTCAGATATTATTAGGCCAATGAAAAAAAGTGCGGTAGGGTTTCGTTTCGTGGAAAAGACTAAGCCTAGCATTTTCTTCTATCTTTTTTACTCACAAATGTAATACAATAAATTACTGACAGCTGGCAATGAACCGATATTTTGATAACAAGTTACATACTTACTAAAAGTATCAGTCATCTGAAATCAAATCAGTAAGCATGAGCATTGTTCCTAATTCTCAGTAGATCTCAGATTTTGTTTAATTGTATACAATTATCAGTTCTTTAATAAACGGCTGTAATACCCATTTTTACCAAGACCAAGTTGTAAGACTTATAAACCAAATAATTGGCCAATACCATGCATACTAGTACTTGTCAATACGCATATTTGATTACACCCTGGCTAAATGTTACCTAACATTGTTTATCTTACAGTGCAAAATAATAATTGTCTCCAAGGGCATCAAGTGCCTACACATTTTCCCAGCAACCACAGATTCTTTGTCTGAGATTTGCTTTTTGTAAGAATATCTTCTCAACATGTTTGCTCAAATCTGCTGGGATATTTGTATCACAGCTTGAAAAACAGAATTTAGTTGCAATTCTCTAGTTATACTTGAAACAAACTTTGTAAGATGTCAGCTAAAGTTTATAATTTGTGTATTATGATACATGCCGAGCAAAGCATTTTATGTAAACTGTACAGATTAATCTTTTATATGGGGCAGTTTTGAAATTTGTAATAATTATATTGCAACTGACTTGCTGTATTTAGCTTTATGGTTTTATTTCACTGTTTCTTTCTGGAGCTTGTTCCTTCAATCAACCAATAAATCAACATGTGAGTGAACTCTTGTCTTTTGTCTCATTTTTATTTCATCCCAATGAAAAAGATAGATTAGCATATCAAACATTTCAGTGGAACTACAGTTTTTATTCAGAGGTTGTAGTGAAAGTGTGTAATGAACATGGATATCCACCTTTCTGATTTGTTGATCTAACCAGGTGGAAGTTTGTAATGAATATGGATATCCACCTTTCTAATTGGTTGGTTGATCTACCCAAAATTTGAACATGTGCACATGACAATCGGCTTCCTTTAAAGGAAGATATAGGTGATGAGGTGGTGAGTAGTTGTAGTTATAACACCAGTCGTTTATTATGAAGTCCCAATGGTAGGTAAAATACAATGTATTGAAATTCACTTGTTCGCTAGAATACACATTACAACTAGAGACTAAACGTGCACTATAAAGATGGCAAGTGGTGATTTAACAAAAATGAGATTGCTCTCGTTCTTCTGAACCCTTGAGTGCCATTATTTTTTACGTAACATTTTGCAAATATTTTTGTATTATTCTACAGATTCTTTGTTTTTCACCAGGTTTATTTTATGAAAAGTGAAAGAAAAAAAATTTGGCATTCAAAGGGTTAAGACAGAGTTACTAGTTTGCAAATCACACGATGATATGTGATCAGACAACTGAGACTGCGAGAAACTAAACACCTTTCCTTTGTACGTCAATCAAAAACAATACACTGGAATAATAAATTGTAAATATCACGGACATATTCCTACAAGTCATATTAAATACACATATTAGTAAGAACAGCGAAAGTCAAGACAAAAAGCACCTAATTTGAAAAGAAAATCTTAGACTGATAGTTTTTATTCGCTAAATATTTTAATCTAAAATAACCTACTTAACCAAAATTATGTGAAGAAACTAAAAAATGAATGATGTCCTTTCAATTTCATTAAAACTATAATACCTAGACTTGCTTCTTTGCGGTACAAAGTATGTTAATAAAACAAGAAATAAACATTCTGTCAATGCAAGTATTTGGTAAGAATATTCTGTATCTATTCCAATCGATATTTTCAGATCTACAATTATGCAATTATAGATCTATAAACTAGACTATTGTTGGTTTTATTGTATATATATATATACCGATATATATATGTGTATGTAGATCCATTGGTTAGATTATTGACATATACATGTATATGTGAATGTAGATCCATTGGTTGGATTATTGACATATACATGTGTATGTAGATCCATTGGTTGGATTATTGACATATACATGTGAATGTAGATCCATTGGTTAGATTATTGACATATACTGGTATATGTGTATTGTGGATCCATTGGTTGGATTATTGACATATACATGTGTATGTAGATCCATTGGTTGGATTATTGACATATACATGTGTATGTAGATCCATTGGTTGGATTATTGACATATACATGTGAATGTAGATCCATTGGTTGGATTATTGACATATATATATATATTATTATATTATTATATATATATATATATATATATATATATATATATATATATATATATATATATATATATATATATATATA